CACATACTGAACACAAAGCAAAGCAGAGCGAAGTAAAGCAGGTGCTATCACTGAAGGGCACAGGTACCCTCAGAGAAACATCATCTGAAGAAAGCATGCCAAGCCCGCTCACTGTTCCTCATTTGATTCAGAGGATGGGGCTCATGCCCCGGCGAGTTTCGATCGACCAACCACAATCTCTTGAGGGGAGGGGATGGGGTGTCTTCCCAAACTTTGTCAAAACTTTTTTTTTTTTTTTTTTTTTTTTTGAAAAAAAACAACTCGAGCTGTTACTAGAGGTGCTGATAAGAGCAGACACCACTAGTACCATCGGGAAGGCTCCATCTATTGGTAGGGAGCAGCACCTGCTGGAAACCGGGTCCAAAACTTTCAAACCCAGAGAAAAGGCAAGGACTGGCAGGATTTTCACTGAGAGTGGCAATGCACGATGATGCCTCTCTCTCCTCTCCAGGGTCAGGTCCCACTTACAGAGCTCGGGTGGGACTCTTACTCTCTGCCCCTACCTTCTTCACCTGAATAGGAAGCCCCGTGATTACAGCTGTATTTTGTGCAAGTTTCAGTCTATTCACAGTGAGAATGAGCGGACATTCTATTAGGATAATGACGGTAGAATCGGGTAGATTTTATGTAAATTTCCATATGGGACTCTGGGCCCGGTTCTCAGCATGTGCTGCTTCCCACGAATATATTGGAGCCTTGTCTTATTAAAAAAAAAAAAAAAAAAAAAAAAGGAAAAAACGGGTAGATTGCAAGGATCAAACATCAGAAATGCCAAACGGTGTAAAGGTGGGGGGGACGTCATAGGGGCTGCCGAACCGTGCACGATGGTGGGCCATCGAGCCATCGAGGGCATGTTAAGAGCATACTCACACTGGACATTTCGGACTGGGCTCTGGACGTGATTGCGGCCCCATACATCCAGGTCAATCTGGAGTTTCCGGTCAGATACATCCAGGAAAGTCCTCTTGTGAGTATGCCCTCACAGTGGTACCGTAATCACAAAAGATATGAGGCTACAAAGAGTACATTTAATCACAAAAGATATGAGGCTACAAAGAGTACATTTCACAAAAGTTGAGAGAAGAGATCCAGTGATGAGCGAAGGGAGTATCTGCTGAAATCCAATTTCTGGGTGGAATTTAGGTTCGTTCCTCTCAGTGTGCAGGGAGCGATCCTAACAGACCTGGAGAACATCGCTCATGTCAAGGGCTATATCAAAGACTTACCACAATTCCCAGGTAAGCGGGATGATACTCTGCTGGTGGCAGTGGAGTGGGATGAGACATACCCATTCCCCCTTAATGAAGAACGGAGATACTCCCATGGGGGCAGGGAATTCTCCATTCCGGTCAGCCACAAACAAGATCCGAGGTGCTATGCGTGCAAAGCAAGAGATCACCTATGTTCGGACGATCTCTGCCCATCCAACAAGAAAACAAGGATCAAGGGACTGGTAGTCCCCCACCCCACGGACGAAGAGCGGTGGTATCCGGAAGAGAAGGAGCTCCAAGGTTGGATCTTCAGAGCACATGCTGATGGACGCCCCGGGAAATGGACGTGG